TATTTTGTTCGTATCCTATTTTCTGTTGCCTTCTTTCTTCATCAATATTATCATTGATATCGGAGTCAAATTTCTCCTCCCCTGTCTTAGGGACGCTACCAGAAAAATACCAGTCCTCGTCACTTGAATCGGTTGAATTGGTAGATTCAGTGTCAAAGTATACCAAAGGAGAGAGGTCAGCAAGGTTAGGAGAAGCTAGGTGAATTTCTTTTCAGGTTGCAGTTTAAACTTCGAAGAGAGTACTGACAGAGAATGGAACGGCAAATGAAGAGCAGCCAGGTTCTGGGTTAAATTGGTTTCGGGATTTGACGCAAAGGTAAGAGCGTTTAAAGGTTGGGTACTAAGACTATTAAAAGAGGTGCGAAGTAATGGGTTAAAGTGTTCAGAATCTTGAGGTGATTCTGCTACGCTATTAAGAGAAGAGTCAGGAACAGGGTAAGTATTATGATTTTCAACTTCTTCTCTTTCCAAATAATTATAAATTTTATCTTCTAATTCTTCTTCTTCGAATTCCTCATCACTTCCTGATAGATCATCATCTTCCTTTTCCTCCTCAAAGTCTTCCTTTAACTCACGAACTATGGTGGGACGATTTTTACCAAGAGGCTCAGGGATAAACTTCTGACATTCAACGGGAATGGTGACTTCTTTACCGTGTCAGGTAAGAGTCATTTCGGAGGTAGTCCAGTCAATTTTGGCTTGCACCTTTGAAAGCCAATCATTTCTAACAATCGCTTGGTAGGATCCAGCATTTGTTACAACGACGTCAAATGGGATTTCCATACCTCCCATGTTAAAGAGAAATCCGAAATTTCTCCTAGTGTCTGTTTGCTTTCTCCGTGTACGTTAACTATGTTGATAGTGGAGGGGCGTTCTACTTTTATACCCAGATCCATTAAAAGATGAGAAGAAACAACGCTGTCAGAAGACCAACTGTCAACAATTAAGCGAATAGTTGCTTCTAGAATTTGGGCATCACAGTATAATGCAGTGGACTTCTTCTCAGAGGTAAGGCTAATATTATTTTTCATCTTTCTTTTTACAGGGGCTTTCTTTTTCTGGAGACTTTTAATCAGCTCTGACCTCATAGAAGGGACAGCACGAATAAGTTGTCCAATAGTAATATTAGCTGGCTTATCTCTAAGGTCAGTTATAATCGAATACGAAAGTACCAACGAAGCGATTTGAGGCATCTCATCGTCAAGGACTTTTTTTCTGACGGGAGGGGCATGCTTTGGTTTGGGAGGAACAGCCTTAGACGGGGGAGTAACATTTTTTTCTGCTTTCTTTTCTTTTTCCAACAATTGTTCTAACGCTTCTTCTGCTACTGACTCTAGGTCATCTTCTTCTTGTCATCTACGTTTAGATTGACAGGTTTCACGAGACTCTATGGCAAACAAGGGAACATCTTCCTGAGGAATACTAACATAGGTATGTTGGTCGTTTTGGTGATTAGAGGAATTTAAACTAGCTGCCAGGGCAAGGAGGGTCTGCAGAGCTTCTTGTTGATGATTCTCGGGAGCTCCATTTGTTCTATTACCACAGGTAAAAGGGGCTTGAGTGGAAGTAGGAGGAGGTGGGTTTTGTGAGAAGTAAACAGGTTGGGTTGGCTGCGTTGAA